GTTCGGATCCCATGTGGAGACCGGTTCCCGCTCACTGGCTGAGCGCGGTACGGGCGCAACACCGAGGGTTGCGATCCCGTTGCCGGTCAGTAAAAAAGACAAAAAGGGAAAAAAAAAAGGGTCTCCCTGAGAGAGCAAATGCACAAAGTTGGAGATTTCCTAGATTATGAGTGTGGCAGATATCATTCTACAATGTGCCAGAGAGATCCCTCATTTATAATTTCTCTTATCTCACCTTCCAAGGATCCTTTAGGCCTATATTTTCTCTTTGTATCCCAAATGGAGACATAAATTCAGATTCTCTCACTGTCTCCTCCCCTTATATTCCTTCTTATAAAGTTACTGTTAGCCCTTAATCTTCCTTTGTGTGAGATCCAAGACCACAAGAGACCAGAAAGTTAAGCGTTACTTTGTGAAAGAATGAATGAGTTTTTACTTGCTTATATAGCTTAAAATAAGTTCTTAGATACCATAAATTGAACTTGTTAAATTTATTTTGGGGGGAAGTTCATCCAGTTCTCAGGAGTGGCTGACATAAATATTTTGCTATATTAGGCTCCTCAAGGACGCCCTACATGATGCACAGTTTGGTACACGATATGAACATGTTTTGGGTGCTCTCCTTTCAGTAGGAGGAAAAGGACTCAGAGAAGAACTTTTAAAGCAGGCGAAACTTGTACAACTTTTAGGAGGAGTAGCAGAAAAAGTAAGGCAGGCTAGTGGATCAGCCAGACAGGTATGTACCCCTAAAAGGAAACATAAATATTTTGATGTTAAAGGCTCTTTATGGTGTTCACAAATTAAGTTGTTACTCTTTATCAGTAGACTCCTGATCGAACTCTAACTATACCTATGCTATTTTGGGCAGATAAATTCAAAGGTTGTTTAAAATGTATAAGAAAAGATTTTACAACCTAACTCAGAAGATCAATGCTTTTTAACTCCCATGCTTATTAATGACTTTCTGATCAAAATTGTTCTCTTGAGTTTCTTTTTCACTATTTTATTTTACTTTTTTTTTTTTTGCAATTGTAAAAGTAATGAAAGTATGAGTCAATGCTAATTTTTTTTAAAATTCAGGTCATGAAGAAGTTTATAGAATAAAAAATGAAGACTCTACTGTTTCCAATTCACTTTTCCAGTTTCTCCCTGTAGATATCTGTCACTCATAGTTTGCTGTCTGATAGTTTGCTGTATGTTCTTCCTGACCATTTTATATGACTTTACACTTGAATAAAGTGTTTATATGATATAAACACTTAAGTGTATACACAAATTTTGGGAGTTTTTTTTTTTTTTTAATTTTTCAGAAACAATTGCATCATACACACACGTTTGTTGTTCTTGTTGAGATAAAATTTACATAACATAAAATTCATCATTTTAACCATTTTCAAGTGTACAGTTCAGTGGCTTTTAGTACATTTACAATGTTGTACAATGTTGTACACCACCACTATCTAATTCCAGGATATTTTCATCAGACCAAAAAGAAAGCATGTACCCATTAACTGCTAACTCCCCATTTTCCCCTCTTTCCAGTTCATGGTAGTCACTACTCTGCTTTCTGTTTATATAAATTTGCCTATTCTGAACGATTTTTGTAAATGGAGTCATATGATATATGGCCTTTTCTGTCTAGTTTCTTTCACTTAACATAATGTTTTCAGAGTTCATCCATGAACTAGCATGTTTAAGTATTCATCCCTTTTTATGGCTGAATAGCATTCCATTGTATGACTATATGACATTTGTTTATCCATTCATTAGTTGATGGACATTTAGGTTGTTTCTACTTTTTGGCTATTATTAGTAATGTTGCTATGAATATTCATGTTGCTTTGCCTCCCACGGATTTGTCACCCCTTTTCCCTGGGTGACGGAGCCACCAAGGATTACTCAAAGCCCATCTCTTCTAAGTAGTGAGAAGCCCCAAAGGGGTTAATCTCCCAGAACCCTCAAGAGAGAGGCATTCCTTCCATTTTGGAAATTAACCCCAAATTGGGGTCCTCTTCCCGCGTTTATTCTCTAGACCAGGAAGTTACAGGAAGAGAACATAGGTGGGGCTTTTGCTAAGTACAGTTTAACAAGTTTGACAATAGAAGCTGGTGACATTTCATAATGCAATTTGCAAGAAGTTAAGTGATCCACCAACAAAAGCTTGATTTTAGCAAACATTCTCTCTCCTTACAGCAATTTCCCAATATCTTTACATATCAATCGGTAACCTGTCTGTCTTTGAACCAGCAACCTTGCTGTGCTACAATTCTTTATCTTACAATAGAGACTAGCCTGGGGAAAATTTCCTGTCTTTTGCAAGGTCAACATTTTATATGTACTTTTTAAAAAAAATTTATTTTATTTATTGAGTCAAAATCGATTATACATATTTTGGGGGTTGAACACTGAGATATGTTGATCAAATCAATATTACTAGCATATATATAGTTATAAATTGTAATTATTCTTCATGCCCCTTGTCCAATCTCTCCCCCTCCCCCCTCTAATTACCCTAGATTTCTTCTCTCCTTCTGAAGGATAATGGTTACTCTGTTAATTTGTTGCCTAGATGATCTGTCCAATGCTGAGAGATGTGATTGGGTCCCCCAATATTATCATAGAGCAGATGCTGCTTTTGTCACTCTGAAACAGGCTTTGTGCGAAGAGACATCCTCTTCTTTTCTTTGTCTCTGCTGGTGACTCTCCTTGTGTGAATGCACTCCAGTGGTTGGCAGACCATTTGCATGGTGGTTGTGGTGTCTAGTCGCTTTTGCAGCAGCCATGGTTACTGTGGAGGCTGTGGTGGGCCACCCACATGGAGGTGCTGTTTTTGGTATGCTCCTTGGCACTGGCAGTATGCCTGGTTGTAGGAGAGAGGTCCGGTCCCCTTCTCCATGTCTCAGGTCCCTGGGTGGGTCCCGAGGCACTGGCACAGTGTGCCTGGTTGTGGGAGAGAGGTCCGATCCCCTTCTCCATTCCCTGGGTCACTGGGTGGGCCTCAAGGCACTGGCATGGTGTGCCTGGTTGTGGGAGAGAGGTCTGGTCCCCTTCTCCGTGCCTCAGGTCACTGGGTGGGCCCCACGGTGCTGGCATGGTGTGCCTGGTTGTGGGCGGGGGGTCCAGTCCCCTTCTCTGTGCCTCGGGTCCCTGTGGTGGCCCTGAGGTGCTTGCACAGTTTGCCTGGAAGTGGGAGTGGGTTCTGGTCCCTGTATCCAAGCCGCCAGTTTCCAGGCAGGTCCTAAGGTGCTGGTGGTGTGCCTGGGCTGGAACTAATTTTTTGTCCTTTGCTTGTTTCTAACATGGGGGAACTTCCTGTGGGAACCAGTACTTGAGTGTGTGGTTGTTTAAATTGCTGCTTTGGGCCGGCCCAGTGGCGCACTGCTGTAGTGCGCCGCTTGGGAGAGC